GAGAAGGAGAAAGCTTCCATTGCTGTTTCATTCCCTTCAAATGCTCACAACAGCTGGGGCTGGGCCAGCTGAAGCCAAGAGCTCCATCTGGGTCTCCAGGCTTGAGTTATCATCTGTTGCCTCCCAGGCACATTAGCAGGAAGCTGGACTGGAAGCTGGGAGCAGGGTTGCAGGGACTAGAATCAAGCACTCTGACATAGGATGTGGGCATCCCAAGAACGGCTTCACCCAATGCCTTTCAAGTAGGTGAAAATAAACAAACAAAGAATAAAGTATGAACAAATTCATCAAGTAGTACAAGATCTACATACTAAAAACTATGCTAGGAGAAACTAAAGGAGTCCCAAAGAAATGGAGCACTATACCATGTTCATGGATTAGAAGACAATATTGTTAAAATGACAACTGCACCCAAATTGACCCATAATTCAAGGTAATCTCTAGCAAAATCCCAGAAGACTTTTTGAAGAAATTACATGATTCTAGAATTTGGAAATATAAAGGATGCAAATAGCCAACGTAATTCTGAAACAAAGCTGGCTCTCATACTACACAATTTGAAAACTTACAATGAAGTTTCAGTAATAAAATCAGTGTGCTCCTGGCAGTAAAGCATACTATCAATGGAATGCAGCAGAGAATTCAGAAATATATTTATATATTTTTCAACAAAGGTGTCAAGGTAATTTAATGGGCAAAAGACGGTCTTTTTTTTTTTTTTTTTTCAATTTGACAGGTATAGTTATAGACTGTGAGAGAGACAAAGGTCTTCCTTCTGTTGGTTCACCCCCCAAATGGCCACCACAGCCGGCGCACTGCAGCTGGCACACTGTGCGGATTTGAAGCCGGGAGCCAGGTGCTTCCTCCCAGTCTCCAATGTGGGTGCAGGGGCCCAAGCACTTGGGCCATCCTCCACTGCCCTCCTGGGCCACAGGATAGAGCTGGACTGGAAGAGAAGCAGCCAGGTCTAGAACCCAGCACCCATATGGGATGCCAGAGCTGCAGGCGGAGGATTAACCAAGTGAGCCACAGCGCCGGCCCCAAAAGATAGTCTTTTCAACAAATGGTCCTGAATAATTGGATATGTTTTTAAAAAAACAAACCTTATACCTTTATGTCTTACCAAACACCAAAGTTAACTCAAAATGGTTATCAGACCTTATCACTACTTATCCATCAGATAATATCACTACTTATCCATCAGAATGGCTTAAATAAAGACTGACAGTATCAAATTTTTATGGTAGATAAACTAGAACCCTCAAACACTACTGGTAAGAACATATGATGGTACAGTCATTATGGAAAACAGTCTTATGGTTCCTTAAAAATTTATTATATAACTCAGTAATTCCACTCCTACATACAGATTTATCATTTTATTCTTAACAGCTAAAAACTGGAAACAGTGTAATGTTCATCAACTAGGGCTTGGTAAGCAATGAAAACATCTATTCAACAATAAAACGGAGTTAACTAGTGAAGCATGGCTGAACCTCAAAAGTTTTATGCCAAAAACCTGTTGTAGGATATCATCAACTTGGAAATTTAGAGAAGGCAAAATTAGAGTAACATAAAGCAGATTGGGGCTGTCGGAAGGAAGGATGAGAATAGGGGCAGACTACCAACAGGCAGGACCTTTCTGGGGGGATGGAAATGTTCTAAACTGGGTTACAATGGATGCACTACTCCATGAGTTTACTGAAAATTACTGAATTGCACACTTATATTGGAGAAATTTTATGGTGTGTCACTTATATCAAAATGTTAAAAACATTCTGAACACTAAGGAAATTAATTCTCATTAAGTCCATCTAATATTAACAACTTGTTATATATGAGTAAAAGACAAATAAATGTAAGAACCCATTGTCTCAAGATGTTCATTCTGCAGGTTTGTCTTAAGTGTCTAGGAAGCGGTGAAGTCAAAGGGGCTAATAAGGACTAGAGACACAGGCAGGAAGGCAGAGCCTTCAGTTGTAGCCTTGTCTCATCCTAATATTTTTAACAGTGACAGGATGAAATCTGAAAGTCCGATCTGCACAGTTTCAGGTAGTTAGGAAGAAGTTCAAGAGCTGTGGTTAGAGGCCAGGAAAGAGTAGCAGGCAAAGCCACTGCCTGCAGCGCCGGCATCCCATGTGGGCACCAACTGAGTCCCGGCTGCTCCACTTCCGGTCCAGCTCTCTGCTGTGGCCTGTGAAAGCAGTGGAAGATGGCCCAATGGGCCCCTACACCCCAGTGGAAGCTCCTGGCTCCTGGCTCCAGATTGGCCCAGCTCCGGCTGTTGCAGCCATTTGGGGAGTGAACCTGCAGATGAAGCCTTCTCTCTCTCTCTGTGCAACTATGCCTTTCAAATAAATAAATCTTATATATAAAAAGGCCAGGAAAACAGCTTTCCCAGATGAATCTTATAGGTCTCGATGCTCACTGTTTGATAAACACTTCAACTAAGCAATGAATACAACATGATGCAACAGACCAAAGTTGTTTTTTTTAACTTGATGTAATGCTAGCCTGTTTCCAAAAATGCTTCCAAGAGAGCACAGCCCAGTCAGTATTTTTTGTCAGACCAGGTATTTTCAATTCCAAGAATTGGTATTGGCTGGACAACCCAAATAGGAAAATTCACCAATGATCTGCGAAGTGCTTTTAGTAAAGAAAAGCTAAAAAATAGTTCAAGAACATTAGGTTTGAAAATAGTCAACAAGTAAACTATGACTGCATATTATCCATGTTTCTATGAGCTAATATTTGTGTGCTCTAGTTGTCAGGTATTACTATAAGCAAATTTAAATATATTTGCTCATTTAATCTTCAGCTGAGGAAGGCTTTATTTGCCTTTAATAAATTTATGTGAGAGAGAATAAGCTCCTATCTGCTGGTTCACTCGACCAAATGTCCACAAGGGCAGAAGCTGGGCCAGGCCAAAGCTGGGAGCTGGACACTCAATCCAGTTCTCCCACAACACTTGAGTCATCACCACTATTTCCCAGGGCCTGCATTAGCAGGAAGCTGGAGTCAGGACTGGAGAGGCATCAGACCCAAGCACTCCAAGCATGGGATGCAGGCGTTTTAACTGTTGTTCCAAAGGCCTGCCCCGAGGAATGCTTTCATTTCCTTTCTGTGGACAGGGAACTCAGAGAGAAAGGACGTGACTTACTCAAGGCCACAAGCTAACAGAAAGGCTGGTATTTCAATTATGTCTCCCTAAATTGTTAACAACCTCCTAAGTAACACCGCCTCCCTATCCATATCCTGTCCACTAGAACTAGTCCCTCTTCTGCCTGAAATCCCTAACAGGTTACAGTGAAAGCCAACATTCTTACCATGACCTACACAGTTCTTACCAAGGCCCTAAGTGCTCTGGGCCTGCTGCTTCTCCATGACATCATGTGCACAGCCCCACTGCCCTCCAGACAAACTGCTGTTCAGTATCTCTGCCTGTAACATCCTTCCCCGAGACAGGGCTCCCTCAATGGCCTTCCAGGTTCTACACAAATATCACCACCTCTGAGAGCCTTCCCTGACTACCCTATTAAAATAGTACTACTCCTCCTTTCTATACTGATTTGCAACCATCTGGCACCCCCCCCCCCCCCCCAGATAGAACACAAACTTCATGAAAACAGGGAGTTAGGAGTTTGGCTTTTACCACTTATGCATAGGAACAAAGCAGATACTGAGTTTTAAAATCTGCTACATATGCTTTGATTCATAGCCTAATCATGTAATTTCAGACAGCGGGGCAGGTGCCTGGCATAGTTAAGGCACTGCTTGGAAGGCCTGCACCCCACATGAGTGCCTGGGGTCACGTCCTGGCTCAGTTTCCAGTTCCAGCTTCCTGCTAAGTGTGCACTCTTGGAGGTGATGGCTCTAGTAGTTGGGTCCCTGCCACCAACATGGGAAGCCTGGATTGGGTTCCAGGTTCCGGGCCCAGCTCCTGCCACTCCAGGCATTTGAGGAGTGAAGCAATGATTGGAAGATCTGTTTATCTACACTTTTCAAATAAAATTTTCTTTAAATGTAAATAAAAATAATTACAAGGCAGCACATCACAAATCTGTACCAATAAAACTCAAACGAAAGGGGGAAAAAGATTTCTTTTAGGAACTTTATTTTCGTTCATCGAAATTTGATAGTCTGATGTGTATGTGTTGATTTCACCTCTAAAAGGCTAACTTTATTGGAGTAATTCGTAATTCTGGAAACTATACATAGCATCCCCCTAATTGCTGGAAGTGTTACGTTCATCTAGTGACTGTATCTTCAAGAAGAAAAGAACCCCCAGCTGTGAATGGGTGCCTGCTGCTAGAAGAAAAACGAAATTCTTAAATGCCCTGGGCTGGCTTTAACAATGTAAAATACGCCTGAGTCACACAGCAAACTTTAAGCTTCGGTGTTCAACTGAGTAAGACTCAAATCTCCCAAGACTGAGACCTCTGTGTGCAAAACTTGCCTGTTTAAAAAAAAAGTAAAAAAACAGGTTTTAGGAAACTCGTCATTTTATTCAAGCCATTTTAGGACACACATATTTGCTTTTCTTTTGATTCACAGAGCAGCAGATCGCGGGAGACTGTCAGATCTCCCCAAAGAAACGCAATGCTTCCCGGGGGCGGAGAGAAAGGGGGCGAAGAACGCACGGAACGGCGGGATCCACGGGCAGGTTTTTGCAAGGAGGAGGCGCACTACCTCTGAACTGCACATTTCCAGGGGCCGATTTCGAATCAATCAAACTCGCCAAGCAAAGGCTGGCGGCGCCGGGAGCGCCCTCCTCCCCGCTCGCAGCGCGGACCTCCAGGCCACTCACCTGCACCCTCGGGGCTTGAAGGCGTCAGACGCGACACACACACGCACACGCGCGCCCTGCACGGAGTGCGGGGAGCCCTAAACCACGGAGTCGCTGCGAACTCTCATCCCAAATTTCTCTCCGCCTTCCAAGTCTGGAGCCGAGAGGAAAGCCACAGGACAAAGCGGGGCAGGAGGGGGCATCGCCCCCTTACCTTGATGGCTTTCTCCATGTCGCTCTCCTCCGACATGCTCCACGGGGCCCCCACAGTCGACAGCGGCCGAGGCTGCGCGGCTGCACGGTCCCCTAGCAGCGGCGGGAGCGAGGGGCTCGGAGCTCCGGGCCCCGAGCCTCGGAGCGACGGGCAGCAGCCGCCCCTGGGGACCGGCGGGAACGAGGGCCCCGGCGCCGGCTCGGCTTCCGCGGGCGGCTCTAGGCTGGCGGCGACCGCCGCGGCCCCTGGGGACGAGGCTTTGTGCTGGGCCCCGCGCGGCCGCCTCCCGGCCTCATCCCCGGCCGGCGAGGCAGGCTCCCGGGGCAGGGCGAGGCGGGGAGGGCCCCGACCCGGGGCGCGGTGCAAGGGCCTCGCGGGGCCGCCGCCTACGCCCAGGCTCGCCAGACCCTGAGCAGGAGCCTGCGCCGCCGCCGCCGCCGCCGGCACCGCCGCGAAGCCGAAGCCGAGCCCGCCGCCGCTGCTGCTCCCGCCGCCGCTTCAGCGCCACACATCGCCGGGACACCCGCGCCGGGCAGCCCTGCCGGCCGCCCGCTCGTCCGCCAGGTGACCAGCCCGAGCCCAGGGCCGCCGCTCCCGCCTGCCGCCCCCGGGACCCCACGGCTCCACGCGCCCCTCGCGGCGGGCCGCCGGGGTTTCCGAGCCACCCCCGAGCGGCGCGGCCGGTTTGCAGGCGCCCGCCCGGGCATCTCCGAGGCGCGCCTCGCGCAGGACAGGTCCCCGGGCCTTCCGCTGCGCTGGCGCCGCGCTAATGACGCACGGGGTGCCCGACCGAGCGGGGCCATTGGAGGTCGCCGCGGGAGCCGGCGTGGCGGCGGCGCAGGGTCCCGCCTCCCGGAGCTGCGTGCCGGGCAGAGTGCGGGGCGGCGGCTGCGGGCGCGTTACCCTCCGCGGCGCCTTCCCCCTCGCGTCTTTGCAAGGTAGGTTTCGGGTAACTAGTACGCGTGCAGACTCGGTGGCTGAAGCTCCCAGAGCCGAGCTCGCGTGCCCAGGCCCCGGGAAGAGGTCGGCGCATATAGAACTCAGGGTCGTGCCCTTGACCCACACCAGTGACCTCTGCGGGACCTAAGAGGAGCCCGTGACCCCCTCACCACCCGCCGGTTCCTCACACCTGAGAGGCAGGCCCGCCGGACGCTGGGGGACACCACCGGAGCGAGACGTCGAATCTGCTCCTGGAACCTTCCGGAAAAGGGAGAGAGGGCGAAGCCAAGAGGGAAATGAGGGGGATGCTGAACGTGGCGAGAGTTCTGTCCTGGATGAGGGGAGGTTGCTCAGGAGGTAACCCGTTCACGCCGAGGCAAGAAAAGGAGCCGGCCGTTGAAAACCCAAGGGAGGGCTTTGGGAGCAGATGGGACAGCAGGTGCATGAGTCTTAAGGTGGAAGCAAAGCTTAGTGGGTTCCAGAAGCTAGAGTAGACCGAATGGCGGGAAAGTGACCCAAGATGGGGCTGGAGATGTGGAAAGGACCTGAGTCGTGTATGGACTTCGGGTTTATTGTAAACCACTGGGAAGTTGTGAGCTGGAGAGTGATGTCAAATTTCTCTTTTTTAGTTAATTAATTTAAAAATTTATTTACTTGAAGGGCAGGGCAACAGAGGGAGAGGGTGAGTTAGAGAAAGAGAGGAGAATCTTTCATCCACTGGCTCACTCCCCAAATGTCTGCAACAGCCAGGGCTGGGCCTGCCCTACCCCAGCAGCCAGCAACTCCATCCTGGCCTCCCACATGGGTGGCAGGAGCCCAAGTACCTGAACCAGCATCCGGTGCCTCCTAGTGCACGCGTTAGCCGGAAGCTGGATGGGAAGCGGGGCGGCCAGGACCACAGCCAGCACTCAGATGTGGGCTGCTGGTGTCACAGGTGGCAGCTTAACCTCTGCGCCACAGTGCTGGCCCTGATAAATCTGTTTTGGAAGATCGCCCTGCTCTGTAAAGAATGGCATGTAGGCAAGCAAAAGCGGAAGTGTCAACAACCATCTTGACCACTGGGAATAATCCAGATGAGAGACTGTTGCTCAAATATAGGAGGTGGCAGTGTGGAGAGAGAAAAAAATGGATTCAAGGTAAGTTTTGGAGATGACGTTGACAGGACTTCCCGAAGGGCTGGATGTCAAAGGTAACCAAGAATTTCATCAGGGAGAACTGCTGAAGCCACTGGGTGGATGTGATGCCGTTCAGTGAATGAAATACTTGCCGGGAGAGAGTGTGGGCTCCTCCGAGTTCTCGTCTGTGGAGGCCGCCTGGGCGCTTTTATGAGCTACAGCAGAGGACCAGTCAAGTAAGTGAGTGATGGAGACTTGGTAGTGCACCAGAATAAAGTGACTGCTGTCTCTGTTGGCCGTACACCTGCACTCCATTCCTCAGCCCCTAAGTAGCCATGGCCACGTGCCTGTGCTCTCCCCAGCGGACAGTGAGCAGGACAGCTGTGCACAGTTTCCAGAACTGGCCCGGAAAGCCCTCCTGCAGGTGCTGCACTGTGCTCTGACCTGTTCTGCCACCTGGACACGGACCGTGAGAAGAGTCTGGACAAGACAGAGGCTCCGAGTAGAAGGTTCCTGGGTAGAGAAGTCTGCCTCTCTTCACAGATGTCTGCATGTGAATGTGATGTGAGAAAAATAAACTTCTTTTTTTGTGGAGCGTCTGAGTAATTTGAGTCATTTTATTACTGCAGCTTTGCCTTTGCAGCCTAATCCACAAGATGAAAGAGAGACAAGGCCTGAGTGAGCTGCTCAGCTTACTGACCCCTTTCCATGTGCTTTCCCACTTCCTGGAAACTTCCCTCCCAGCACGCACATGCACACACACACACACACACACACACAGAGCCAAATTTCTACTCTTTCATCACTCCACTGATCTTTTCAGACAGCTATGCCTAATGGCTGCCCTTCCTTTCCCAATCTGAGTTAGATGTTCCTGTTATAATCTCCTAACAACTTTCCTGGGGTTTGTCATACTTTGTGTTTATGTATGAAGGTCCTTCAAAAAGTTCATGGAAAATTAAAGGTGTTTGTTTTAGTGCACAGAATTCTGAAATCCATGCATACGAGTGGTCTCCAAAGTTCACTGAGATCTGTGTTTCAAAAAAAAACTACAGGGATTTAAAATTTTTGGCACTAACATATTTTTTTTCTTTTAAGTAAAATGAGAAAGAGGCCAGGGCATTTCTGTTTTTTCTTTTTCTTTTTTCTTTTTTTTTTTTTTTTTGAAAGAGAGAGAGAGATGGATCTCCCATCCACTGGTTACTCCCCAGCTGCCAAGAGCAGGAATCTGTAAGTCTCCCCCATGTGAGTGGCAGGGAGATCACCCGCTGCCTCCCAGGGTGTGTATTAGCAGGAAGATGGAGTTGGGGGTGGAGCTAGAACTCACACCCAGCACTCTGATGTGAAAAGTGGGCGACCCAAGCAGCGCATTAACCACTGTGCCAAGTGCATGCTCCCCCACTGATCTTTTTTTTTTTTTTTAAGATTTATTTATTTTTTACTTGAGAGTCAGAGTTACACAGAGAGCAGAGAGGCAGAGAGAGAGAGAGGTCTTCCATCCAATGGTTCATTCCCCAGTTACCCGCACGGCCGGAACTGTGCCAATTTGAAGCCAGGAGCCAGGAGCTTCTGGGTCTCCCATGTGGGTGCAGGGGCCCAAGGACTTGGGCCATCCTCTACTGCTTTCCCAGGCCATAGCAGAGAGCTGGATTGGAAGTGGAGCAGCTGGGACTAGAACCGGCGCCCATATGGGATGCTGGTGTTCCAGGCCAGGGCCCTAACCTGCTGTGCCACAGTGCTGGCCCCTCCCCACTGATCTCAATCCCATGTTTTGAACTGTCCTAATACTTTCTTTAGTGTTGTTCCCCACTAGACTGTAAATCATTTTTCAAGGGAAAGAGTCTTACCTGGTCATCTCATGCCACATGCTTAGTAACTTTGTTCAGGACTTGATAAATGGAGGAGGCCATGCCCGGAGGAAGAAGAGGCTTCTTCCGATGAACTTCCACTTTTGGCTGGTCAGGTGGCTGGGTAGGCAGCCTATCAGACAGCCTCCGGGGTGCCCACCTGCTGGCAGGTGCAGTCCCTTCATCCTGCACGTGGGGCTGCCTCTAGCAGCTTGCTTCTGATGACGGGCTTCATCCAAGATGAGGTCACAGGAAGACGCTTCTGTCGGGGAGGCCCCTCTGCCGCTCGCTCGTCTGCCTGGGGGAAGCCGGCTCACTTGTGAGCTGCTCTGTTAGTTTCTAGGGGCTGCCAAAACAAATTCCGACAAGCATTAAACGTTTAAAGTTAATTTAAAAGCGAGAGAGAGCGATCTCCTATCCCATAGTTAGCTCCCCAAATACCCAGAACAGCCAAGGCTGAGCCAGGCCGGAGCCCAAGTAGAAGCCCAAGAAAGAATTTGTGGGCGTGCCTTGTTGTCTAATGGAGGGAACCTCAAGAAGACTCCCAGGGAAGCACAAAGCCCTTGAGAGAGTTGTATTTGGACTCTAACTGAGGATAAGGCAGAATGGCAAGGCTCCTGGCAGGAAGCGGACCGAGGGCCGTGCTCTATTGCAAGTGTGCTGGTTTCCCTGGAAGGGTGACTCCGTGGACCCAAGAGCTGTGGATATGGCCCGTGCCACAGCTCACTAGGCTAATCCTCCGCCTGCGGCACCGGCACTCTGGGTTCTAGTCCTGGTCGGGGCACCGGATTCTGTCCCGGTTCTCCTCTTCCAGTCCAGCTCTCTGCTATGGTCTAGGAGTGCAGTGGAGGATGGCCCAAGTCCTTGGGCCCTGCACCCGCATGGGAGACCAGGAGAAGCACCTGGCTCCTGGCTTCGGATTGGCGCAGCGTGCCAGCTGTGGTGGCCATTTGGAGGGTGAGCCAATGGAAAAAAGGAAGACCTTTCTTTCTGTCTCTCTCACTGTCCACTCTGCCTGTCAAAAAAAAAAAAAAAAAAAAAAAGCTGTGGATAATGAGTTCTCAGTCCCTGGGAACGGACTGTGGGTTTTCCAGCCTTTACCCAGCTTTCTCGGAATGGCTAGGCCCTGGGCACTCCTCTGTGCCACTCATTTTCCTCCTTTTTTAAAAAAAAGGTTTTTTAATTTATTTATTTGAAAGAGATACAGAGAGAGGCAGAGACAGAGAGAGAGGTCTTCCATCCGATGGTTCACTCCCCAAATGGCTGCATCAGCCAGAGCTGTGCCAATCAGGAGCCAGGAGCTTCTTCCAGGTCTCCCATGTGGGTGCAGGGGCCCAAGGACTTGGACCATCTTCTGCTTTCCCAGGCCACAGCACAGCTGGATCGGAAGTGGAGCAGCCAGGACAAGAACTGGCGCCCACATGGGATGCCAGTGCTTCAGGTCAGGGCATTAACCCGCTGTGCCACAACACTAGCCCCTCATTTTCCTCCTTTTTGAACAAGGAGGTCTGTTGCTGTTAGCTTTGTTTTCCTCTGGTGGCAGGGGTAGTTTACATCCAGACTGGAGCCCTTGATGATACCAGACCTAAACAGTTGAAGACCATACAGTCTCTCCCTCGCCCCAAACTCTTTTCCTCTAGTGTAGACTTCGGTTTCAGAAGTGTTGTGTTTTTTAGATGTCAGGGATGCAGAAAGTGACTGTCTGCACCAGAGACAGCCCTGTCACCCTGTAACAGCAGCCAGCCTTGGGGTGCATAGTGCACACCCTTTCCCAAGCTGCAGAAATGCGGGCTCCCCCCTGCAATGGGATGGACGCCTCCAGGGTGACTTCCACCTGCCCTTGTATGTTTCGCCTCCTAACAGCGTCCCTGGGCACTGCTCAGCATCCCCATTATGAAGGCTCTCGGTGCTTCATCCAGAAGTGATTGCTGCCTCACTGTGCCCAGCAAGGGGCCGGATCATTGAGCTGCTGAAGTGGCAGCTAGTCCTCGCCTTGAGAGCAGACCCCCACTCTGGCCACTGCCCCGTTCCTGTCCCTGGCACCCATTGGCTCAGCCGAGACTCAGGGCTTCCATGAGCTGCTGAGGGTCCCATCACCTTCTCAGGCCAAGAATAAGTTCAGGCCAGTGCCGCGGCTCAATAGGCTAATCCTTTGCCTGCAGCACCGGCACACCGGGTTCTAGTCCCGGTCTGGGCGCCAGATTCTGTCCCGGTCGCTCCTCTTCCAGGCCAGCTCTCTGCTGTGGCCTGGGAGTGCAGTGGAGGATGGCCCAAGTGCTTGGGCCCTGCACCCCATGAGAGACCAGGAGAAGCACCTGGCTCCTGGCTTCGGATTGGCGCAGTGCCGGCCGTAGTGGCCATTTAGGGGGTGAACCAACAGAAAAGGAAGACCTTTCTCTCTGTCTCTCTCACCGTCCATTCTGCCTGTCAAAAAGAAAAAAAATAATAAGTTCAGCTGTGCAAGGTCCGGCAGCACCTTCAGGGACAGCACTTCCAACATCTCGATGGGCAGGCCGGGCGCCTGGGGATCCAGTTAGACTGCGATCCAGAGTCAGTGCGTCTGAGCCGCGGCCTGAGACTGCATGTCTGACAAGTGCCCAGGTGCCAGTGCTGCTGGCCATGAATCCATGAACCGTACTTTGACCGGCTAGTGCCCTCTTCCGCCTCGAGAATTCGTTTTCCACACCTCCCTGTCCAGGCCTGCATTTCCTGGTTCAGAATAATATTGTCCTTGAGTAACCCCCAGCAGAGTTTTCCTGTCTAGGTATTCTAAACGTGTCTGCATGCCCTTCCGAGTGTGTGTGTGGTGGGGGGAGATGACCACAGATACACAGACAGGAACCGCAAGTCTTCATCAGCAGCCACCAGTGTCACCTCAGAGGTCTCCCAGGTCTCTGCAGGAGAGGGGAGAGGCCGAGTGCACACTGCACCCAGCCAGCTCTGTGGACCTGGGTGGAGGGAAAGAGGAAGAAGAGGAAGGAAGAGAGAAAACCCTGAGATGGTGGAGGGATGATTTGAGGAGAGCCCCGGGGGACGTGACGCTCCCCCTCCCTCTGCCCTCCCAAGACCTGCGACAGCTTGGGTTCAAGCCATGTCTGTTCTTTGGAGAGGATCTGAAACATCCCATGTCTTGTGCACGGCTAGCGCTGGGCATTGGCAGCAGCTGCCCAGCAGGGCCCACTCAGTGTTTGAGTTGCTGCAATGATTACTGTTTTTAAGACATGGTCTAGCCCAAGAGATACGGAAGCATGTTCACACAGGCCTGCTCAGAGCAGTGGACGGACACAATGTGCTCCGCACATACAGTGGAATATTACTTGAGCACGAAATGGAATGCTATACTAACAGACTGCAATGTGGATAAACCTTGAAAACATTACACTAAGTGAAAGAAGGCAGACCACACACAGCTACTGCGTGACTCATTTATATCGTGTTTAGAATAAGTATATCTATAGAGACAGTAAGTAGTGGTCATGCAGGGCTTGGGGGAAAACGGGTGCGATTAGGGGATGATTGCTGACAGGTAACAGGGTTCTTTGGGGGCCAGTGGAGGTGTTGTAGATTGTAGCATGGGAGATGCACAGCTCTGAATATATTAAAAGTTGAATTCTACACTTTAAGTGGGTAATTTATATAGTGTGTGGGTTTTATCTAAAAGCTGTTTTACATGGAAGGAGAGAGAAAGGGAGGGAGGAAGGATGAGAGTCCACTGCCTTTTCTTGTAGACTGGTGTCTCTGAAAACTGCA